GAGGAGGAGGAGGAGGAGGAGGAGGAGGAGGAGGAGGAGATTGGATTCATACCCCGCCCTCCACTACCCAAAGGAGTCCCAGAGCGACTTACAATCTTCTTTCCCTTCCCCTCCCCACAACAGACACCCTGTGAGGTAGGTAGGTGGAGGAGTGGGGAATCAAACTCTGTTCTCCCAGATTAGAGTCTGCGCTCCTAACCACTACACCAAACTGGGTTTTCAACAGTGGCACCATGGAACTGTTATTAAGGATGGGAGCAAGATTCCTGGGGTGCTGATGTGACTAGGAGGAATGGGGCACGGTGGGGACAGGGCAATAACAGCAAGTGGCCCAGGGATGGTGGCTACCAGTGTTCCCTCTAAGCTGAGTCAGTGTGAGCTAGCTCAGTTTTTTAGCCCCGGACTCACACATTTTTGTCTCGGCTCAGGAAGGAGGGCTCCAGAGCAAACTAATTTAGGCCGAAGCCAAATCGCTCGCTCACAGCTTTAATGCCAGCAGCTCACAACATAGAATTTTTGCTCCCAAGACTCCACAGCTTAGAGGGAGCATTGGTGGCCACGGATGCAGTCCCTGCCTTCCCCCACTGCACTCAGCTCTGCATCCACAGTCAGAGCAACTTTTCCCACCCACCCCTGTTCAGAGGCAGACTACGGCTGAGAGATGTTTTCCTGGGTGAGGTGCACTGAGGGCAGGATTGCTCCTCAAGCAGATCAGCTCCTGCATGGCACTTTGGATCCTGGACACAAAACATCAAAATCTCTCAACATTCTTGGTCTCTTTGGTACTACATTAATTTATCCCCATAAGCCCCCATATTCTAAAAAAAACCCTGTATAAATGAAGCATATGGCCACTCTTCTTCTAGTATATTTACTTTTACTTACATATTTATCTACTCTATTTGTACTCCACCTGTCTTCCCAAGGCACCTTACATCAGTCTCCTCTCCTCCATTTTTTCCCTCACAACAACCCTGTGAGGCAGGTTAGGCTGAAAGAACATGACTGGCTCAAGGTCACCCATCGAACCTCCTGCCCCGAGCTGGGATTTGAACCCCGGTCTCCCAGATACTAGTCCAAAACTCTTAACCACTACAACACACTGTACTTAAAAGTAAAGCTATAGATTACTTACCTGCTTTATATGATATGGTGTTTGTATTCGCCACGGATTTCTTATAGCACAAGTACACTGCTGAGCCCCACTGCAAAAGGCAGGAATGGTATTAAGTAACACACAAATCCAAAGCGCAATGCGACAAGGCAGAGGAACAAAAATGATTTCATTTATAAATTTATACTCTGCTTTTACCCCCAATAGGAACCCAAAGCAGCTTACAACATTATTATTATTGTTGTTGTTGTTGTTATTATTTAGATTTCTGAATCGCCCATCCCTGCTACCGCAGGGCTCTGGCCGATGTACAACCATGAATAAAAACATTCACTATAAAAATAAAATACATTAATACCAGTAAATTAAAACTCCAGATGAACTAAAAATCCCCCCCTTCCTGACTGCCCAGCCATAAGAACATAAAAGAAACCAATGTTGGATCAGGCCAGTGGCCCATCCAGTCCAACACTCTGTCACACAGTGGCCAAAAATACCAGGGGCCATCAGGAGGTCCGGCAGTGGGGCCAGGACACTAGGAGCCCTCCCACTGTTGCCCCCCCCCCCAAGCACCAAGAATACAGAGCATCACTTGGCCCAGCCTGAGAGTTCCTATCTATACCTTGTGGCAGGGGTGGCGAACAAGTGCTACAAAAAGAGCCAAAATTTTAAACTGTGAGAGTCAGAGAGCCACACCACGCAGTGACCTGCCAAAACAGACAAACACTCACACAAAAGCATATACTTTTAACAATGACGCCCCGAGGAACTCCCCACACTCCGACCTACCGGCCGACGCCAGCGCCGAAGACCGGGAGAGGGAGGCAGCGCCCCAACGCCGAACCTCCCCAGAAGACACCCGGCTGCACGAGACGACCGCAGGACG